AGAGAGAGAGACACAGAGAGAGAGAGAGAGAGAGAGAGAGAGAGAGAGAGAGAGAGAGAGAGAGAGAGAGAGAGAGAGAAGGGAGTAGAGTTCTCTTTCTCTCTTTCTAGCGCGACTCTCTCTCTCTCTCTCGGGTCCAGCTAGGTCGAATCGACTGGAGCACTATCGCTCCGGATACCCAGAGCTTCTTCTCGAGGCTCCTGATCCTGGCTATCCTCTCTTACACTCCTGTATAAGTGTATATATATAGTTGAACCGTTACACCCACTCTCCGTCTCTCTATCAGTCTGTCCTTATCCTTTATCTCCGGCACTTCTTTCCCTATCCTTCTTCCACTTCGACTCGCTGGTACATTATGGACAGCGACCGTATCCGCACCATCCTCCTTGTTCTTCCTTGGAGATGAAGAGAGAGACACAGCCGGCAAGAAGAGGGCACGAAGAAGCGAGAAGGACGTCGTAGGTATGCGCCGTCGGCCCTCAGGTATAGCGGCTCTCTCGCGATGTTCCACGAGAGAGCCGCGAAGTCGGTGCCTTTTTTTGCGGGTGAACCAAGTCGAAGGAGGTGGACGAGGTAGATGTGGTAGAGATGTTGGGTATAGGATGAGAGCTAGCCTTCGCCATTGTTCCGCCGACGACGCCGACCTACGGGTAACCTTCGAAATTCGGATCGAACCCGATATCCCTACTACTGTACATACGATATACCTATATATACCTATATATATATACTGGTATACTAGGACTACTGGACGTGACGTCATCGCCCTAGGTACCTGGCTATACCCAGGTTCTGCCTCTCTTATCACGCTGGAGTGTTCACCACGTTTGAAGATAGCGCAATGGTAATTACACGGGCAGACGAACTTTGGCTGACAGAGGAAGAGGAAGAAGTCGAGTTCGTTATGGAACGCTCGACGCGCCATCTACACGGCTACCGGTCAACTAGGTGCTTTGTCACTGGCAAGTTAATCGTATATCGTTCTGTAGAATCTTCAGAAGACTCGTGCGTCGAGTTTCGAGAGATCGAATCTCGAAAGTGACGATAATTCAATATGACGACGAGTAATCGAAAGTAAACGTCCGTCGGAAATCTTGATTAATTCGTTCCCGTGTATCTTCCCGGCCTTTCGCTCGAATTCCTTACCGATCTGAGAATCAACCGGAAGCTCACGTTGCCGGGCATTCTAATAATCCTTAAGCGTCGAGACGAATGGCACAAGCAGAAAACGAAAGACGAAGAAGCTCCGGGAAAATCGTACGATCGATCTGCCTTCGGTCTTTAAGTCCAAAATGAACGGGAGAGAAACGCTCAGAGTGTTCAACGTGGCCTGGACGTACGCTCCCAGATTGTAGTCGTGTTTGTGCGTGGGTGGCCGACCCGATATTA